ACCTCGAATCGAGTTGCCGACTTCTTCGAGAGATGAATCAAGAATCGCCCTGGTGTTACGAGAAGTGGGGACGCTGTACTTCCTGGATGTGCGACTTGACACAAGCCAACGTGAACGAAGACAGAGGATCCACGAGGAAAATATGAACACGTACGAGAAAGCATACATTGCTGTCCCACGCGCGGAGCCATACAATCTTTGGCATCGGCGTTTGGCGCATTGCCACAAGGGCATCATTGAGGCAGCAGCGCGCATTAAAGAAACTGGAGTTAAGCTCACGGACAACTTGGACCCGTGCGAGACCTGCAAACTTCAGAAGAGCACCCAAAGGAAGCACCTCAAAACGGCACAGCACACTGCCGTTCAACCATGTCAACGGGTGTACACGGATCTGCTGGGACCAATTTCGCCACCTGCAAAGGGCGGATTCAACTATGCCAGCAAATTCACGGAGGCATATTCCAGAATGAATGTCGTGTACCTGATAAGGACCAAGGACGAAGCCATCGACACACTGGAACGATTTATTGACGACATCGTCATACCGAATGGTTTTCGACTGGAGCGGCTTCGGAGTGACTGTGGAGGAGAGTACACAGCTGAGTACTACAAGAAGTTCTGCAAAACAATTGGAATCGTCCAAGAATTTACGGCACCGGCAACACCGCAACAAAATGGGATAAGCGAGCGTGCTGGACGGACGCTCATGAACATCGTTCGATGTTTAATGCATGGCGGACAACTACCGGAGTATCTATGGGGCGAGTTGTGCTGCACGGCGGTACACATCACGAATCGCCTGCCGCATGTACATCTGAACAACGAGACGCCTTACTACCGGATGTTTGGAAAACAAGCTTCGCTACGACATCTACGGGTTATCGGATCGTCAGCGTTCGTACACGTCGAAACGTACAAGACTAAGCTTGCAAATCGAGCTTGGCCCGGAATACTGGTTGGGTACAGCCCCAACAGCAACGCTTATCGGATTTATAATCCGCATACCAAGCGCATCGTTCCATCGAGAAACGTGACTTTCATCGAACCAATGGACGCGGCCATGCCGCCGGTCATACCGACCATTGAGGAACTACGCGACTACGAACCGGAAAACGAATTATCGGTTTCCGCGGATGTCGACATACCCGGAAACGAGGGGGAAGTGAAAGATAATTCGAAATATGAGGAGGACTACTACGAGGAAGAAGGACAACAAGAACAAGAACAAGAACAAGAACAAGAACAAGAACAAGAACAAGGAATTATACCCCGCATGCACTTGCGAAGCAGCGGAAAGAGGATACGTTGTGGAAACGATGGACGTGGTGACTGCATTTCTTCAGAGCAAAGTGGAAGAAGAAGTGTATGTTCGTCAAGCTAAAGCATGCGAAATAATGGATGAAGTGACGGGACTACCGCTGGTGATGAAGCTCAAGAAAAGCTTATACGGATTGAAGCAGAGCCCTCGGAACTTCGGCAACGCATTTGCCAAAGGAATAAAAGAAATCGGGTTTACTGCTCTACTGAGCGACCCGTGCGTATATGTGTACGGTGCTGGACCTGCATACGCGATACTATGTGTGTACGTGGACGACTGCACACTAGCTGGAAAGACACCGAGCGTGGTTCAAGATTTGAAGAAACAACTATCGGACAAATTCAAGATGACGGACGGAGGACCAGCGGAACTACTACTAGGGATGGAGATTTCTCAGAGCGACGGAGAAATCGCAGTGAGCCAACACAAATATGTGATGAACATACTGGACAAGTTTCAAATGAAGGACTGCAAATCAGCGGCGACTCCAGGATGCGGGCCAGAAATTGAACAAGAGCCGGAGAATGCTATATATTTAAGTGACGAGGACAAAAAACTCTACCAGGGAATAGTCGGAAGTCTCCTCTTCTTGACTAACACGACGAGATGGGAGATTGGATATGCCGTCATGATCCTGTGCAGAGGGATGAACAAGCCTACCAATCAACATATGGTCGGAGCAAAGAGAGTGCTGCAATACCTTCGAGGATTCCCGGATATGCCACTAAAGTTCAGGAGAGGGCAATGGAACCTGAAGTGCTACTGTGACGCGAACTTCGCTGGATCGGGCGAGAGACTTCAGAAGCGTTCTTCTACTGGATATATTTTCATACTTGCGGGAGGCGTCATCAGTGCAGCATCAACTCTGCAGAAGCTAACAGCACAATCAAGTGTACATGCGGAGATCATCGCGATGGCTACAGCAGCGAGGGAAGCAATTTATCTGCAAGGTGTACTATCGGAACTTGGATTTCCATGCGGCAACATCCCGCTTCATTCGGATTCAACGGGAGCGCTGAGCACAGCAGGAAACTCCATGTTTCGAGGCCGCAGCAAGTTCATCAGCACGAGATACTGGCTACTTCGCCAGAACGTCAACCAGGGAAACATCGTGCTAAAGTTCGTGAGGAGTGAGGAGCAGCTTGCGGACATATTGACCAAGCATCTGGAACGTGTCCAATTCGTCAAACTGCGGACATTGGTTCAAGAACGTGGAGGATCTACGAAATAGGAGATTTCATATGGTGGAGCAGCAAATGTGATAGTTTCAGATGTATAAGGACAACACGGGAAGGCTGGTGCGACGACTACACACCAACCACTACCAAGAAGAACAAGACAGGACTACCTGGACAACAACGACAAGGAAAGACATCACAAACAAGACAGGACTACCTGGAAAACAACGACATACAAGACCGACAAGACCAAGGAGGTGTACTTCCTGGAAGACAACAACAACAACAATAACAACAGCGTCATCATCGAAGACGTCTGGAGACACAACAACGGCTTAATTGCTACACTGGAGAAGGAGACGGGATGAGAAGGAAAGTAATGACGTATGAAATAGTTATACCGACCATCAGTAACGTAGAGAAGAGTGAATTTTGTGAAAGTATAGTGAATCCCGGGCATGGACATCACAGACATGATGTGTGCTTCACGGTCATTCTGTCTACATAGAAGAATGAACGGTTTTACGAATAGGTGTATGTGATACTTCGTATGAGGTGTGATTCTGGTAAGGTAAAATAATTGGCCAGATGAAAGAGAAATGCTGTGATAGAGGTATGTGTTTACGTACGTGCTAAGAGCGTTGAGGTACAGTAGTATGCGACGAATGAAAGGTTTACTATGGTCATTCAACCGTAGTCAATGTATTTCACTATTGTAGAAACAGTTAAACGCAGTTGTTTTTTAGTTGAGCAAACTTGGGGACGAAATTCTGATCTTTGTTCACTGAATGCGGGGAGAGAATAAGAAGATAAGGAGAAGAAAATAAGGGCGATTATTTTTTGGAGTAGGATAGCAGCTGAACAGGCAGTTGTTGAAGCATGAGTAACGCGCGTAATACAAATTATGGGGGCGTGTGTAATGTAAGAGTACTGAATTGAAGTAGGTGCGTAAAAGACTTGCAGGATTTATGCAGTAGATTTAGAACAACACTGGGGTTGTTGAAGTGCACGTAACATTGCATCCATCATGGGGGCGTGTTGAAATACAGCGCATCACTGCTGTAGGATGTGTGTAGTAGAATAGATGCAGCTGTATGATTGCTGTATGCAATGATACGTACATGCGGTGTGATATGTGACGTTTGGTAAAACGTAACATGTATGACGAGTTCTAGCGAGGAACTCACGAATGAATTGATGGTTGAGCAGAGGATTGTAATTGTAGCGAGATCACGAGGTGTTGCGAGCCCCACCGGGTTCACTCCCCAACTATCTCTCACCATCTCACCTCTGCAACTGAGCTAGGCTCCGGTGCCACCGGCAGGCAATAATGAAAGTCTCATTGAGGCAACAATGATACCAACTTCAGTCTCGACGACTACATGCAGGCTTAACCGCCTGCAGACACGACCCTTGGGTACAGGGCACCTCGACACGACACATTTCTACAGAATCACCAAGTACTTGACTGCCAGCCTAGCCAGAGATGGGAACGAGAATTGGTGTCGGCACCACCAAGTCAGCTCATCCTTTGAGGTCTGCTCGTGCTCGGGATCAAGGCCTTGCTCAACAACAAAGCGCCGAAGCTCCAGCTCTGCAGACTGCACTCTTGCTTCAAGTGAGAGCCTCGAAGGGGAACGCGCGGCGCTGGTTTGCTGCGCCTGTCCGGCGCCGCCTGATCCACCAGGGCCCTTGCCCCTCGATGCCATGACGGCCATCGTTCGAAAGCTGAGGAGCTGCTTCTTCGCCGGCGGCTCATCGCCGGAAAGGTCGACGGACCCGCCGCCCGCACCACCGCCCGCACCACCGCCCGCACCACCGCCCGCACCGCCATTATCAGCCGACGAGCTGTCGGCCGCTTTCTCGGCATCGATGTCCTGGGTGAACAGGACTTTGAGCTCCTCCACGAGAAGATCGCGCCACTGCTTCTGCTCCGCGTCCGATAGCCACTCGAGATCTTTCGTGCGGGCACTGAGCGCGGACGCCATCTTCATCACCGCGGGGACATTTTCCCAGCGATCTTCGTGGTCGACGAGCATCGCTTTGCCAGCCACGCGGAACGGGCCTTGGGTGAACGCCGCCGACTCCTTCTGGATGTGGTTGTTCAAGACGTTCATGATGCAGGGGATCTCCGCCAGGCCAAGGTAGTCACCCTCCATGGTCTCCACCGCCGACGCGAAAGGCTCCAACATCCTCACCATCGACGCCGCGTTTGTCCAGTCCACGTCCTGGAGGACGATGTCCACCTTGGAGCGTTCGTTGGCGAGCTCGACGGTGTGAAGAACGCTGCTCTTGTGCTCCAGGGACACAGTGAGCATCGACAGCCACGACCACCACCGCGTGACACAGCCTGTAGGGATCCTCGCAGGTTTTTTGGTGGGAAACCTCAACTGAATACATACGGGGATCAGGGGGGAGAAACACAGGAGGGGGCGGGGATCGATGAGAACCCAACAGCACGACAAGCAAACGTTTGCCTCTTTACTCTGCACATGCGTGCGCGGCTAGCGGCAAGACTGCAGTGGTGCAGTGACGATGTGATTGTGTCAACAGCGTGCGAAAAATAACGTAAATACAAGCGTATTTGCTCACCTTCTGCGCCTCAAAGAACGCTCCCAGCGACAGCGCAGACTTGTGCAGGTGCCCGGCAACCTTGGTGAACCTTTTGAGGGTCTCCTTCAGGCCGGGAGTGTTGACGAACTTCTGCACCGTGAGCTCAGTCTTGTGGCATCCACATCCAAGCCACTGAATCTGCGGCGCCATGTGAACAATGACGCCGTTCTTCATGTTCGCAGCCGTGTCGGTCGTCATGCTGATCACTTGGTTCTCGATCCCAAGAGCCTTCAGCATACTCGTGAGCTTCGCCCCGATGCGCACACCGGTGTGGGATCCTTCGAAGATCTCGCAGCCTGCGGTGCCGCACTTGACGGTCCACTCGCTGCGGGACGTCTCTATCCAGTGAAGAGTCAGAGAGATGAAGGACACCTGGGTGATTTGGCGAAATATGGCAGAACAAGAAACAATACGCACACGAAAATGCACGCATCAAAACAACGTCCCTAGCTAGGCAACGTACCTCAAATGCCACCCGAGCGTTCTCGTAGATCGTGAGTGTTCTACAGCTATTTGTCATCAACTGCTGTTTGATGTTTATTATATCGCGGGAAGCAGAAGAGTTATACTTACGTTGGTGTTGGATGTCCAAATGTCGCTATTTAGTCGCCGCTAGGCTTTTCCCCACCAGCATGCGCTTGAGGTTCTCCACGGCGACTCTCTTCTTGTTCATCAACTCCGTCCGAAACTTCTTTCGGCCGCCGGCGTCGAAGGTAGCGCTGCCAGTCGCTGTCTGCAGCACCTTCTCAAGCGCTGGATGGTCCACAACCGAAAGCGGCTGGTTGTCGAGGATCACCCAATCGAGGAGGTCCGAGGCGACCGCTTCGGTGCGGGATAGCCTGACCGTAGGAAGGTTGTTTTTCCAAAGAGCTTTGTTGGCATTTATTGTATTTATGTATGATGTGTGATGTGTGACAAAATACAAATTACACAAGTCTAATTAGCGGTAGACCACATCCTCCGTACTTTGTGAACATTGAACGCGCTACAATACACGCTTCAACACGCAGCCTGCTGTAGCTGCTATACGGTGCCACTAATGAAACTTAGACTAATTTGAAAAGAACAGCGTACATCGTATGGCACACCACCACGAGGAGGAGAAAAAATAACACAGGAACTCAAGGGTGCACAATTTTTTTTTTTCCGACACCTAACCCCCAAAACTTTTTTTTGTGGCCCTCCGGGGGGGGGGGGGGGGGAAACGAAAGT